GTCGATAGCTACTCGTACTACTATGATTAACTTTTCCTTTTTTATAAAATTGAACAAAAGTACTCTATCTTAAATTAATATTGGGAAAATCCTTGCTGCAGACATAGGTTGTAAGAGAGGCTGAAAGACTGTAGGCTACAGATCAACAACTTATGAAATAGCTGTTTTTACTGGTCAGTTGGTTTGATCCTGAATGGATGAAATCTTTTTTATGGAACCAATGCTCACAATAATTGGGCTTTTGATAAATAATCCTAGCTAAAAAAGAAACAATGCTCTCTCTCATTATTCATCTTATCTTTACCTTAAAATAAGGACACACCCTGGAGTGTTGGTGTCATAGAAATTGAATAATTCAATTAGAAAGTTAAAATACCTCATTTTCCCCTTGTGGTCCAAGTTTGTCCTACTGGATTATGCGCATTTCGGTGCCAATGCCATTGTCAGATCCGGGTAAGAACTAATAACTCGCGCCAGACGTGTGTCGGTTCTTGACAAACCTAAAACTTCTTGATCTGCATTGGTTCATCACCAAACAAATCATTTGGCTTTGTAAAGTCTACTTTCAGGAATTTTATTAGAACTATTTTTACATCATAAAAAAGAAATACTAGAAAACCTAAAATAGTCGTGATGCAAAGTAGATATGTGAAGTATGTAGATATGTAGACAACACATTCTTGTTATATTCAGACAAACCCAGAAGAATGACCACAAAACAATGATGCAGACATTCAACCGCCAACATCCAATCTCGCTTTTACTAAAACGAAGAAAATTACAAGATCAATTTCTTGGATCTCATACTAGAGAGAAAGACGACTAGATCGGCTTTGAAATCTGCAGCAAACCCATGCAAACGGACACAACGACTAGCAGCAATTATATTCATCCAACAATCCGAAAGACTGCAGCCTTTAGATCCGTGTTCTACCAAAGCATACAAAATCCTACAGAGTGAAGCCAATGGGGAAAAAAGAATTAAATACCATAAAGAAGATTGCACAGTTAACTGATATCTACACAATAGAAGACATCGCAAGAAAGACAAAATAAAAATTGATGCCAGAAAAAGCTTAACAGCAGGAAAAAGCTGGAAGAAATAAAAGAGGAGAACATCTAATATTCTGCTAGTCATACGGGAACCAGGACACAAAGGGTTGCTATCAAACCCAAGGAATATGGTTCATCAATAGCCTTCAGAACTCAGAACACCTCTGGATGAAATACTGCATCCACAAATAGAAGATGGTATCAAATCCGACGCTTTGGGTTCTACAAAATAAATTGAACCAATTGTGATAGCTTTTACATTGGACAAACTGAAAACTTTATTAAACGTTTCAAAAACAATATTTAAATGAAGGATAATAAAACGAAAAGATAAAAATCTCACTCAGCACTTGTTACAAAATGGCCACTCATTAGGGAAAATGGAACAAAATCTATGTATCTATAGGCTCCTTGTATAGAATACAACTTTCTTCCCACTTTATACCATGCCATGTATCATGAACTTGTTTCGATGTTTTATAACCGTAGGTTACACTTGTATCAAACTGTTTTCATGTGTTCATGAACACGTATAATAGCCGGTCTTGATGTTGACCTACAGTTACGGTTACACAAGCACGGGACCTTACACACTACTTTTTTGTTTTTATTGCCACAATTAGGATGTTTTACCTTCGATACGTGTCTTCTTATCACATTTTTTTAGGCAAAGACTGACCTAATATTTTGCTTAGCATTCACGCACCTCATTTTCTCCGATAGGTTTTTAATATACGGGACGCATACTGTGGCCAGAGGTTTGTCCTTTTTGGTGGTAAACTTATATCAGAGATGGATACTTTTCTTAGGGCTTTATTATTTATAAATTGACGAGGATACCCACTATCGAGTAAGCATTTTTTTATTGTTATTAACTCCTGCTCAAAAGTCTGTTCATCGATACAGATTAGTTTCGCCTTTTTAATGAGCCCAATTATTAATCCTAATTCCCACAGGTAAAACGCAAAACACATCGTCTACATAACGTAACCATAACTTATGCTTAACCTTATTGTTGTAATGGCTTTTTGTTCAGTCATCCATGAAGATGTTACTTCATGGATGTAGGATGTAACATGTGTAAGTAAATTTTGACTCCAGTTGTACAGGGTGAGGCAATGAGAACGCCACAATTTGTTTTAGCGGTCACATGTTAATTGTTGCAACAACAAATGATCAGCTGTGCTTATAACATCAATTAAACTATGTAATTTTATTAAATATTATTCCTGAGGCTATTAACACTGAGATTTTGACGTGGAAACCTATTTAAAAAATAGTGATTCTTGTGCAAAAACCCAGATATTGTTTGGACCACATTCCATCCTTGGTCAACATGGCACTGTTCCAGATTGGGAAACAATGGTGAACTGGGTAAAATTATTTAGGATAAACGCTTAAACCTTAAAAATAATCGATAGGTTCCGCAAAACTCTTTGTACTCCAGCAAATGTTGAAAAAGTGCGAGTCGCAGTAACTGAAAGTCCAAAGAGATTTGCCAGGAAGCTTTTGTTGTTGAAAGCTTTACGTTGGCTCCTTTTTTTGGGAGGGGGGGGGGTTGTTCTAATAAGCTACTTGAAGTTAGAGGTTTTTCAAAATCACCCCACATAATTGCTTGAACGGAAGCTAGGAATTGTCCAAAAACTTAAATGATTCCTGAAGAAATGCTGGAGGAGTATTTTATGGAGTTTTCAAGTAAGCACTATGCACTCAGCATAGCAATGCTGGTGGCGCTGCCTACGAACTGACAGGCAAAGCTCTCTCAAAGTACGCTTTTTATCATGCGGTTGGCATTCTGGGTTATAGTAGTATGTTTTCTGTGTCAGAAGTCATAATCGTGCACACAAAATGTCTGTATACAAGTGCTCTTATAACGCTTTTCATTGAACACATTTAATCGGATCCATTTACTTTTTTTATCTTTGTTTTTTCGTTTTGATTCATTTAGTTTTTATTAAATAAAACTGTTTTTGTAAATAAAAGTATTTTTTTTATTTCAAAGCCAACTTGGCACGAAAAGCGTTATATTATTAGAACCATTTTTAAAGAACATAACATAATGTACATGGACGTTTTTTGTACATGATTATTACTTCTGATTGGATACAACCTTGCATTCCATGTATCCAAAAATTGGGCTTTTAACGATGTTTGGTTTGAGAGGCCATCCTCCTTGGTATATTTAGATTTAGAATTTAAATACAGAAATAATGGGTGGAAAACGTTTGACTAGTAAAGTTTTATCAATTGCATGGGCTAGTCAATTTTTATTGTGAGTTTCTTAGTAAATCATGTATAATAACATTAATAGTAATAAATAATCAATATAAATATGATTTAATGAGTGGGTCGCAAATGAAAAATCAAAGATGATGTTGGGTTGCCAGAATGAAAGGTTTGGGAACTGCTGTCAGAAGGAGTAGTTACCTTCCGATGATTGATTTCAACTTAAAAAAGAAGTCACGCCCTACCCCCTACTCTGTTATGGGGGATAAAAAATATTTTTTATGTAAAAAATTGCAAAACCTTTGTTAACAAGTAGAAGTATTGCCACAAACAGAATATTTCTATCTATTTCGGTTTTAAAAATACAGATTTGTTTCAATACTTAATTTACACACTGTATAACTGTTCAAAGGTATTTCTCTATAAACGTCCATTATGTATAAAATAAATATCTCTCACCAAATTCTATCTGGTGAGGGGGTAAAAATCCAGACCGTATTTTGAGCTTAACGAACATGATGGGGGTAAAAATTGTGGCCCGCACACTCTAGGCTTTATAATTTGATTTCTTCTGATTAAATTACAACTATGAAAAGATGCATTCAATTCCAAATTCAATTTTTTCAACTCGTGTTGTGCAACTCAAAAGTTCACAGCCGACATCTGGGACATCTGATTTGGTCTGTGGGTAAAATTCCAGGGAGATAAAATTCTGCTTACCCGTTGCTACTTGCTAGTGCATTCAATTATCCAATTTTGTTCCCATCCAGATGGGATCTGGTCCCAATAAATTTAGACAGTTGGGTGGTCTTCTCACTTCTGATGTAGTTAACAAATCCAGTGTGTAACTCTCCATGGGAATCCTAAGCTAGATGGTTTAGGGAGGTTTTACTAGTTCTTATACTTCGGCCACTGCTTTTTAGAAGACCAATATAGATGAGACACTACCATATGTAGGGAGTGTAACTGTGTATTAAATACAATTTTATCCTCCTAGAGCAAATTTTAATATTCTCTGTATTTTGAATATTGTTTTAAATATTTTACCTAACCCACCATGTTAAACTTCCCTATCCCAAGCGTGATGTATATAACTTCGTTACTTCTCGAGTGATGTAAAGTTGAAAAAAACTCACTCTGTGATGTAATGAAACCCATTTAAATAACATTGAGTGCTTAACTTAAAAAATATACCTCTATGGAGCCAACGACGTTCAATTCAGCTAGAAATCAGCTGTGCACTTGAATTTTATTGTTATGTTTTGAAGAATTTTCCTAACCTAGCTTTTGTTTGTAAATAAACGTTACTGTTAGGAGATGAGTGAAATGGATAATGAAAAATATTGTTCGTAACCTCCTGTATATTGTCGGGTCAGGTAAAATCTTGTACGTTACACGTTACGCAAGAGCGTGTTTACATCACTTCGGTAAATTATGCAACTCGCTTCCGCTCGTTGCACAACATTTACCTGCGTGATGTAAAAACGCTCTTACTACACTTGTAAGGTAAATAGCTATTACATTGCTGTCAAACAAAACATATACACGGCAGTTCAAAGAGCAATGGTATCTGTTAATTAATCTGTCTAGACATGCTGAAAAACTTACTCGCATACTACATGTTTGAAAATTGTGTGCCTATGTTAGAAAACATAACCTATGCATAAAATGGCTTAATGTGTAATTTTGTAATTAGGATAACCATTTACAAATAAGCAGTAGACAATTTCTAGCTTTATTTTAATGAATACAAGTGAATTTCATACAAAAAACGTTTTAAATATTCTTTTACAGTGATTTTACTTTTTAAATTATAGCTGTAGGAATTCAACAACTTAAAACTAGAGCCTCGTATGTGTGATATTTCAACTCTTCTCCTCCATATGGAATATAAAGGCATTGGTGACTTGGCTGGATCTAAAACATATTCACACAAGCTTTAGAAACATAAAATTAATTAATATGAATTTTATGAACACATCAGAAGGCAGTTTTTTCTGTATAAGGGCCTGAGCTTGATTTGGTGAAATGGGGTATACCTACTTTGGAGCCATTACTAAGTCTGGTGCTTGTGGGAGGCATGCCCTTCCTTTTGATTACTGTAATGCCTAAATCAAAACATTCCCTATAAACTCTAAATGGCTTTAGACAGTTGAACCCTTTCAGTGCTATGCAACGATATATCGTTATGCTTCTTTTTCCTGAAAAGTGTTATGGAACGATATATCGTTCGCATTTCATCAGAATAGTGCTAACTGACGATATATTTTGCTGGCCTGACTTTTGACCGTGTGAGATTTAACGCTGGGCATATCGGTTGACTTGGTTGTTGTTTCGAAACAGTGATGGTTTCTTTTGATTCCTCATACGATCAAGGCCTGATATATCGTTCCTTAGCACTTTTGAGAAGCCGATTTTTGTTCTCTCACACTAGACATTGCCCCCTTGGCTAGCCCAGCACGTTTTGGACGAAATAAGTAAATAACTCTAGAATTTTTCGGAAACTTACAAAATTATAGTATCAATAGGGTTAATGCATTTAAAATAAATCTGTGTAATTTATGTAATGATCATACACTTTACTCATCAATTATAGGTATACAGTACCAGACCGTTAACATGAAGAAAATATGATAAGAGTTTTAAATAACAAAAAGAGCATCCTAAAAAAATGATAACTATAGTAAGAAAGACCAACTTTGAAAAAAGTGTCAAGTGATCCCCATATCACCCTGCACTTATTGATTGACAGTATATAAACATTAATGCAAACAATTTTTTAAAGGAAAAACTTACTTAAAAAAAAAACTGTATGCTACAAGAATACATCAGTTTTAATTTTAACCATATTTATTTGAATGGAGAACAGATAGTTTTGCATCTACATATGCTACGTTTTAATTTTGTACGTTGTCTTGATGAGCCTAAATCTTCATAATAGAAATAGAGACAAATAAGTCTACTGTAAACAATTTTCAAATAGAATTCCATTTTTTAGACAACCCACATTTAAATTGTCTGTGTTGAGGGCTTTCCCCCCTGAAAATGATTCATGCTTTGGTCTTTGAACCATAATTTTTTTATGTAGGCTAAGCTTCTCACAAATTAAAAACTGAATTCTTTATTTAACCCTGCATCTGGCAGCTACAAATCTCCGTACTGGCAGGCCATTTTTTTACTGTATGTACGTAGGTTTCTTTCGAGCTATAACAATTGTGTTCTACCATACAAAAGTATAGGCCTATGCAATTGTATATTTTCTTTTTCAGGACATTACAAGGAAAGAATTTTAACCATTGACGGATCTATTTTTTTTAAACTGTTTACTTTGAAAGAAAAAAATATAATTGGCCTATACAATTTTTCTAAAGTAGAAAAGGCTTGGGAAGATTACTAAAGATTTTTTTATTAGTAGTCTAATCTAAGATATGAAATACGTTTTTATTCTCTAACTCTCAAAATATTGTTACATCACGGTAAATGAACAAACTATACAGGGTGCTCACGAGAGGTGTCTCAAATTGATTACAGAAAAACGGCTTAACGTACAAGGATGAAATAAAATTATTTCCTGCTAAATCGACCCCAAGAAATAACGTAAAAATATTTTTAACTTTTTCCCAATACAGGGTGTGCCAAAAACTGAGGGTCACTAGTTCGAATCTCGGAATTTTCAAATGTAAACATATGTCATGTTATACATAATTTTAAAGGTATTTGATGGGCAAACATTTTGGCGAAAACAGAAATAAGTTATCTTTTTCCGTTTCAAAATGGCGGCAGTTTTTTTGGAAAAAATCTATATTTTTTTAATACTCTGTGTTTCCTATACCAATGCATCTATCCCTTCTCCGGTTGAATTGTCTTACTCGTTATGAAATTAGCCTTACTTTGATATGCTACAAGTAACGGTTTTTATGAAATAAAAAAAATTCCAAAAAAGTTTATTTTTGAAAATTTGCAAATGCTCATTTTTCAAAAATTTCAAATAGCAACATATGTCAAAAGGCACATCATTTTATAGGTTTTTTAATTCCTAACAACTTTGTAATTTACACTTACTTCGTATCTCTTTTAGTTTTTGCGTAAAAAACAAAAAATCTAATTTTCCTATATCAAATGCATGTAATTTGGGTTTGACGTGGTTTAACACTTCATCAAATTGAGCCTAGTGTTGGGCCTAGAATCTCTGGTGTAAAATGATAAAAAGCAATATCTAATCTAATACAGTGATGTTTCCTGTGAATGTTCAGCAGTAAAGAAACTGATGCTCAAACGACTTGTGACTAGTCGTTTGCCAGTGGAGGAACTAGTTTTAGTGACTAGTGAATAGTTGTGTGCCAGATGCAGGGTTAACTTTCCCATACAGTGCCTAGTTGATATTTCTGGTAAATCTCAACTATGTATTCTTATAAAATATTCAACAGACCTATGGATAACAACACAATTTACCTTCCCAGGAGTGAGTGTCCCATCATGCATTGTTCTACCCATGTACAAGTTTTCTCCATCCACAGTTTGTCCAACGACGACTGCCTCGGGTGGAACTCTCCCGTCACGATCTTCTACCCAGGCAACTTGATGACTGATCAGTACCTGTACAAATAACCCTTATAATGGGTGGACGGTGGGAGTAACTGTGATATCTTACAGAAAACAATAGTGTTACGTGCCCACAGCTCTCTAAAACTTGTTAATATTAAAGTTATATTAAAGTGTACAGTGAACAAACTTGAACTTGATACATTCTCTGTTTCAATAACAGAGTACTTTGTTCTGTGGAATGGAATCATTTACAGGTATTTACGACGGCATTGTTGTCGGTCTTATACTATCTGTCTGGGAGAGATAACGGTTTGCCGTAGCGTCCAGCAGCGGCCCGTGGTAATAAATCACTGTTGACTTAGTCGCAACAATGACATAACGATTAATTTTTTTCAGTTACTGGATACTCAAATAACAAATTTCAAGCTGTTCGAGAAGTTGGGTTGGAACAGTGTCATCTAACCTAACCTATCCTAGCCAACCAAACTTCTCAAACAGCTTAAAATTTGCAGTAGCTATTCTAATATTTCGTGTTTTCTCCAAATTTATAAAGCGTGTGATAAAAAACCTTTTCAAAATATTGTATTCTTTATTATTTATTGCCTATAAAAGGTTTCAATAAGTCATAGAAGAGTAATTAAACACATTTTATTATTTTTATTTGTTCAGAGGGAACCAAAATGGATCCTTTTCACCCAAAACTCAAAGTCAAAAATTTTGACAAAAACAATACTTTCTCAATCTAAGAAGAATCTTGACAAGAACCACCTAAAGCCCATAGTCTCATAGACTGCCATTGGAGTTCTGGGGTAAGAGCCCAAGTAGTCAGAAGGCACTGGTCAAATAATGTACTGTATAATAAATAAATCAAATAAATTTGATGGAGCTCATCTTATCCCTAAATCATACTTTTCTTACTACAACTATTCTAGCACGGGTATGATCAAAATACACCTTTATTTAGTCAAATCAAATTTATGGTATTTCGTGGATTAAGAATACAAGTTGAAGTAAAAGAGTTAGCAAGATTTTATTTTGTAAAAACAATCATGTAATACAGCATGCATAGCTATAACATGCATATAGCCATTGAGTATACACGTTACGTGTATACTTAATGGTATAGCTTACACACTAAACTAATCTGCCCAATAAAAAGGACATTTTTCTATCCTAAATATAAATTTTTATTTAAGCTTTTGAAAATGTAATAAATTTTGTTCACTGTTCAGTTTATTGAAAAAATAGCGAGGTATACATTTAATGACTAATATTTTCCAAGTTGTATTCAAAGACAAATTATAATTTGTATCCCCATTTATCCTACTAAAATTCAGCGTTATTTCATCACTCATATACTGTATGTACAGGGTGAGTTTTAATTGTCCCCCCCCCAACTTTTTTCTACATTTTTTCAAATATCAATCCCAGACCACTTTCAAACATTGTTGGGTAGTAAGTACTTCATTTTGACATGGTGGTCATTTCCGGCCGCCATCTTGGATCCGCCATATTGGATGCAAAATATTTTTTTCAAATGTAAAGGTGAGGTTGTGACCCATGATTTCCAACTAGATTTTTGCCCTGATTACAATGCCACAAACCGTTTTTAAAAATCTTGATTCATTCCAAAGTTATGAGGGATTCTTAAAACTTTATTTTTAGCCCATTTTAACATTGTGCATGTACAAACTAAGACCATAATCTCAAAATAGTGCTAGATAAAGATGAGTATACACTACCAGTTATTGTCGACCTTTTTTCACTTGGTTATGACTGATGAATTTTTTTCGGCCGCCATCTTGGATCCGCCATTTTGAAATGTGATAAATTATTTTAAATATGAAGGGGGTGTTGTGACCTATCATTTCGAACTAATATTTTAAGCTAAACTCAATTCCATGATCCGTTTTTCATTTTCATATTTTGATTTTGAAATATTGACATTTTTAACAAAGATATTGCAATATTTCATAAATAAAACTTGATAACAAAAAATGTATTGCGGCATCGAGTTTAGCTTAAAAAAGTAGTTCGAAATGATAGGTCACAACACCCCCTTCATATTTAAAATAATTTATCACATTTCAAAATGGCGGATCCAAGATGGCGGCCGAAAAAAATTAATCAGTCATAACCAAGTGAAAATAGGTCGACAATAACTGGTAATGTATACTTATCTTTATCTAGCACTATTTTGAGATTATGGTCTTAGTTTGTACATGCACAATGTTAAAATAGGCTAAAAATAAAGTTTTAAGAATCCCTCATAACTTTGGAATGGATCAAGATTTTTAAAAACGGTTTGTGGCATTGTAATCAGGGCAAAAATCTAGTTGGAAATCATGGGTCACAACCCCACCTTTACATTTGAAAAAAATATTTTGCATCCAATATGGCGGATCCAAGATGGCGGCCGGAAATGACCACCTCGTCAAAATGAAGTACTTACTACCCAACAATGTTTGGAAGTGGTCTGGGATTGATATTTGAAAAAATGTAGAAAAAAGTTGGGGGGGGGACAATTAAAACTCACCCTGTATAGCTTGTCACTGGAAAATGTTATTCAACATTTTAAAGAAGGTAATAATTATGGTGCTGCTAAAAAAAAAAAAAAAAAAAAAAAAAACACTCGGAATTTAGGGTGGATTTAAAAACATGCTGTATGACAAAGCTCTATAATATATATATAATCCTTGTTGGAAAGCATTCATTTTTGCTATAGTTTTGTTTAATGTAAAATTTGACTGTGAAAATAAAAAGTATTTGACTTTAGAAAAAAGCAAAAGCCTCTAAAATATTAATGCAGGGAAAAGTAAAAAGTTCAACTCCAATCTCATTACTGTATTATAAGTGTAATCCTTCTCACCTCAAACTGATTCACTTCATGTTCCTTGCCTCCCCAAGGCACGTAAGCCTTGTGATGAGAAGGTGCGATCTTGGCTGGAAGCAAATCTCCTCCATGATAAGCTCTACCCGCGTACAGGGGACCTCCGTCCTTGTCTCTTCCCGCATAAACCGCATTTTGTGGAATCTCCCCTGGCTCGCAGTGGATCCAGTGCAGTTCACCTTGGCAGTGAAGTGGACGAGCCCCCTGCAGCCAGCCATAACCTGCACACATTTTGTTAATATGTAATGTGATCTCATAAATGGTGAAGCCTTAGCATTTACCTACTACAAGCTCGTGGAATTTATTTTACATTCTCCTCCCATGACTAGATGGGAGGAAACTAAGGAAAATCACAGGAATGATCACGGCTCATGGTTACATACAGCGCTTGAGGATCCAGAATGGTGATACAGCATGCAAGAAATGTGAGCAGTCTGAGGACCATATAATTCATGGCTGTAAATTCTATAAATGAGGTAAGGGAAAAGCACTCTTGAAACCATGACAATGAGCCCTTCCTCAGAAAGAGATATTGTAGATCATGCTGTAGTTCATAAAGATGTTAGCATTTGCTATTATTTATTAAAAATTTTTATTCCATAAAAACCCTTAGTATCACATATATATGCTTTATTTTTGTTTAAGACCAATCTAGGAAATAATTTAAAAAATTATCTCTGTTCTCTCTCTAAATTACATTTAGACATTTACATATACACTTTATATCTTTAGATTTTCTGTCTTGTAAGCTTTTTGATTTATATTACAAGATAATGCCATAAAACCATTGTTTTCTCAGTTTATGATCCTACTTTAAATGTTTACTGCTATTTCACAAGAACTGGGAAGGAGGGATTTTGTATGACACAAGGTTTTGTTATCAGTGGCAATGTCTAAACATCATGGCCTTGAATTAAGCTGCACTTGTGTCTGGAACAATTAGTCTCAACAGTTAGCTTCCATTATATTTCAAGCACATTGTTCATCAGTTGTTCATATTTAGCTTATATGATTCATGAGAGAATATTTCAGTAACAATTTTGCATTATATTTTGCTATTTTTCCCCTACCATTCTTCACAGTTGTTATAATAATGATATTCAAAACATTTAGGAATGACTAGAACGTATATGTATAGTATATGGTATGAACAAACAACAAAACATAGAGGAAAGTTGAAGAGGGAATGAAAACTCATACAGGTAATGATGAGTAGTTTCATAGGTGTAATGGATTATTACATTTACTGCTACAGGGAAAGTAATCGTGCTCTTAGGCAAATGTCAATAGATAAGTGTAAAATTTTAAAAATTACCAAATCTTGTTAAATATACATATCTAAAACATGCAAACTGCAAAAGATTACTTATCCTACATACAAATAACATGGGAATGTTAAATTTAAAGTTTTTCAAACCTTTATCCGTAACAATTTAGTGTACAACAAGGTAGCTTACTTCACATACCTTGGTTTGGTGGTATCCATGCACCGGGAGGAGGATAAGCGCCAGGAGGTGGTGGAGGATAAGCGCCAGGGGTTGGTGGAGGATAAGCGCCTGGGGTTGGTGGAGGATAAGCGCCAGGAGGTGGTGGAGGAAAACCTCCTGGCACTTCTTGGTGAGGTGGATATCCTCCAAAGCCACCGAACTGGTAACCTGTAAAGAACCATGATCTAGCAAGATTGGCATATGATGGAGAATTTATCATGTGATGGAACAGATTTCTAAAACCTGATAGGTTCTCCGCATGGCTACAAAACTCTGGGTTTAAAAAGTCACCTTGTGCATGACGGATCATTCCTACTGTAATGAAACTCTATAAAACAATAGGTCTTTGTGCATTCATGTTCTATAAGTTTTAACCTTTCAGAGGGAATTTGAGATTTCAAAACAGGATATAATGCACCAGTATATTATTTACAGGTTAAGAAAACAAAAATAGAACTATTTAAGATAATAACAAACTTTTTGGGATGCCACATCTTCAAAAAACCAAGTTCAACAGTTTACTTTGACTGTGTAATCCTATCATTTAATTTAACATTTACAAAAGTAAATTTATTTTTTGTGGTCATAAAAATTAAAATTAATTTAATTTTGGCAACAAAGATGTAGGTTACTGATCAAAACAGAGTGTAAAAATTACTAAATTGCTGTTCAAAATAAACATTTAAAAAGTGGTAAATTTTAAAATTCTCACCTGACATGATAATTGAGCTACACTGAAGCTGGACTTACAAGCTCAGAGCTGCAGCTACAGTTAACAAAGATCCACCTGTTATCACTAACAGCTAGCTGATAATACCTACACCGCACACTAAAATGTGACTCACTCTCAGTGTTTCATAACTTAAACCTCATTTGCACCTGTGTTCTCATTAGCAAGGTCTTGACAAATACATCACTTCAGCCATTCTCCTAAAACATTTGTCAAAGTACAAAAATATGCTACGAATTGGTACCAGTGATGCCCATCTGAAAATTTCTTGCGAGTTAATTAAATGATTTAATTAAAAGTGAAAAATTAATTTATAACAATATAGAAAATTGTGTCGTAGTTCCAAAACCTGTTCAAAAAAGTCAATTTTACAGGAGGGAGAAAATTTTGTTTCACTACGATTATTTTCAAAAATTGTTGAGTAATTAATGTATGAATATCATGTTTAATCGCAAAAAACCCAAATGAAACAATACACAAATTCATAAACACTGTAGAAAATGTTTAAATAAATATTGTTGTATGGATAAGGCAGTGTTTGGAATAGACCCAGCTGGATAAGGCAGGTTTTGGAAGAAATTTGGAACAAGCATCTACAGCCGGAGCACCAAAACCAATATTAAAATGTAAATTCACATAGTTTCTGAAGAATGATTTCTTTGTCTTCAATGATGTGTCCTCACAACTTGAATTATACATTCTCCGCAGCTTGTTCAGGTTCAAGTCACTAGAAATATACTGTCTCTTATCTACCTCTACAGTAATGCTCCTCAAGTACTTGAATTGCCCCGGGCGCAGCAGCTGAGGGGGCGCCACGCCGCGACTATTTGTATTAACATAGTATTAAAAATATGCTAATGCAACTATTACTGATGGGGAGAGGGGGCGCCATGACCACGTTTGCTCCGGGCGCCGCCAACCCTAGGGACGGGCCCTGCTTTGCCTTGTAAACATTTCTTACAAACATTTTGTACTCTGTTTTTTTTAGGCCCAAAAGAGACAAAAAAGTTTTTTGCACACTGGAACTTTGTCTGGAACACCAGGCTGATGAGTTGCCTTTTTTACAAAATAGGTAATTGTCATTCCTTTTCTGGAACTGTTCTCGATTTTTTGACGACTTCTCCGTGGTGCAGAAATTGTGCAGTACTTTAAAATTAGATGGTCTTGCACTACCGGTACCTTCTTTGTCCAAGAGTAAAACATTTTATGTAAATTGTTAATGTCCCTTTTGGTCAATGACTGGCATTTAAATAAAACTTTTTGTTGAGTGTCCACAGTCAGGAAGGCTTGGATTGCCCTTTGAAGAGTATGTGGAAAAAAGTTACTATTTTAGGCTATATGGTACGAATAATCAGTTCTAGTAAGTCTATGCCAGAAACACTGGTAGTTTATTGAATAGTGATAACGAGACTAACTACTACAAAGCATTTGTACGTACACATGTCAAATAAATGGCTTAGGCCTATACAGAAATTCGTTGTTTTCAACAGTAAAATTTCACCAACAGGTTGAATTTAATTTGTTTAGGGGGTACAGTTTCTTACCTGGGCTATGCTAATATCGATTGAAACTATCGTTTCGATTAGTAAACCTTCATGCGATTTTTCACCATCAGCAAGTTTGGTTGGTTATGTTAGGTACGATCGTGAAGACAGCTATCGCCAGCTGTCGACCCTACATTTTCCCCCCTCCCACAACGATTTCCCCTCTTCACCCTCTCGCCAATCAGATACCGCCTAGGTTTGAGCAGTTCAGTCGATGCACAAAAAAATACCTCGCATTTAAATTTACCTTCTATGGAAAATTAATAGTTTTCCGAAATAAAACTAATAACTGTGCATAGGTAATATTCTTATATAGCATATATACGCACCAAAAAGTATAAATAAATCCAAACATTATATTTTAACATATATATTTAACATATATATATGTTCTCAGAGTACTAGGAGTGTTTGGACGTACTTAAAACTATGTTGAAAAGATATTCCACCAAATATTATCGTTTTAAATTGAAGTACATACATGGATATGTACAACATATTAAAGAATTATTAAAATCCAAATATAAATATTTAAGTTAATTTGAGCCTAAAGTCCAGCTAACAAATTTGTTCTCAGCGTACTAAGAATGTTCGGACAAACACCTAACAATGTTGTAACATTATTCCACAAAATTTTATCATTTTAAATTAAAGTCCATACTTGTATGTACGACATATTAAAAAAACATTAAAATCTAAACCAGATTACTAAGTATGTTCGGACAGACATATAACTATGTTGTGACGATATTCCACAAAATTTTATCGTTTTAAATTAAAGTATACACTTGAATGTATAACATATTAAAAAATCATTGGAATCTTAACATATATATTTAGGTTAATTTTAGCCTGAAGTCCAGCTAACGAGCTTGTTCTCAGCGTACTAAGAATGTTCGGACAAACATCTAACTATGTTGTAACATTATTCCACAAAATTTTTTAGTTTTAAATTACACTCTATACTTGCATGTACAACATATTAAAACATCATTAAAATCTAAACATATATATTTAGGTTAATTTTAGCCTGAAGTCCAGCTAACAAGCTTGTTCTCAGCGTACTAAGAATGTTGAGTCAGTGAGGGCTTTTCCTTTTATAAGTATAGATACTTGTGTGTACAACATATACACAAATTAGAAAAAAATTTATATATATATATATATATATATATATATATATATTTAGGTTAATTTGCCCTTGAAGTCTAGCTAACGCCTCCACACTCAAAGTTTTTAAAGCATCATAAGACCAAGTTGTAAACATATTGCGCAGCTTTTTATTGTTTGAAATATTAGTATATACTTGTGTGTACAAAATATAAAAAAATAGGAAAAAATAAATATATATATTATTAAGGTTAATTTGACCTTGAAGTCTAGCTAACGCCTCCACAGTACAAGACCTCAAAGATTTTTAAAGCATAATAAGACTAAGTTGTAAACATATTGCGCAGGTTTTTATTGTTTGAAATATTAGTATATACTTGTGTGCACAACATATAAAAAAATTAGGAAAAAATAAATATATATATATATTTAGGTTAATTGCCCTTGAACTCTAGTAAACGCCTCCACGCTACATGTACTCAAAGTTTTTAAAGTATCATAAGACTAAGTTATAAACATATTGCGCAACTTTTTATTGTTTGAAATATTAGTACAGGGTGTTTATAAAAAAACTTTACAACTTTAAACAATCATAAAACCTTTATTTTTTCACTTACAGCTATGAAACAAAAATTAAAATTTAGGAAATTTTCTCAAGTTTTATTTACATGATAAGAAGTTTACCTAACTTCAATGTGTTTCCCGTTGTTTGCTCGCAAAAAATCAAGTCGACATTCCAGTTCTGACCAAACACGACGCAAAATTGAATGATCTATTTCATCAAACGCTCTCCTGATCTTGTGGGTCTTGAAGGAGGATTCCTATTATATCTTGTCCGAAATCTCCGTTGAACAACAACATCAGATTTCGTTTCAATGAACCACTCCACACACTGCGCTTTGATTCGTGCTTCCATTGCGATGCTAATGAGACTTTTCAATTATTTGTTTTTGTTTACCAAACAACAATGTAAGGCCATCAGCTGATTGAACTGCCAGCTGATTAAAACTTTTTGAGCAGCCCTTTCATGTGGTGTCAATAGGAAACGTTTATGTCCCATGGATCATGAATGGGAGAATGTTAAAGTTGTAAAGTTTTTTTATAAACACCTTGTATATGCTTGTGTACACAACATATAAAAAAAATAAGAAAAAATATATATATATATTTTTAGGTTAATTTGACCTTGAAGTCTAGCTAACGCCTCCACCCTACAAGTACTCAAAACTTTTAAAAGCATAATTAACCTAAGTTGTAAACCTTTCGATTATTAATTAAAAATAATACTGCTACTTATATTATTTGAGGAAAACAATTTAGATGAACAACACACATATTTTAGATTAACAACACATTTAATGTACTATTAACTTTTACGAGGGCTGTTTTTTTTTCAAGTTCCGTTTGTTTCTCCAAATAACCAGCGTAGTGGTGGGAGGCGGGGCTGCGTGTTGTGCGATTGCGCCGCTCCCCCACTACAACCAACGCCGTTGCCGGCTCCAATCCATCAGTCGTAGCCGAGCTACGGGCGAGTAAAGATGGCCGCTACGATCAATTCTCCCGCCAGTTTTGAGTTGCGAAGTGTGATTCGTTTCCTTCAAGCTGAAGGATGTAGTGCTGCTGAAATCCATCGCAGAATGAGTGTTGTGTATGGTGAACACTGTATGAGTGATAGCGCGATAAGAAAATGGTGTAGGCTATTTGCTGAAGGTCGAACAGACGTCCATGACGAAGGCGGTCAAGGACGCAAGTCGGTCGCTACTGCAAGTTTGGTTGAACGAGTTGACCAAGCGATCCGGGAGAAACGGAGGTTTACAATTGATGAACTTTCTACCGAATTTCCAGCCATTTCAAGGTCTTCCTTGTACAAGATTGTGACCACCGAGCTAGGGTACCGAAAACTGTGTGCCCGTTGGGTACCCAAAATGTTGAGTGAGGATCACAAAACGAAGCGAATGGCGTCAGCCCTAACTTTTCTGACGCGATATGACAACGAGAAAGACAATTTTTTAAAGTCTATTGTTACTGGGGATGAAACTTGGGTCCTGTATGAAAATCCAGAAACCAAGGAACAATCAAAGCAATGGATGCACACTCACTCTCCTAACAAACCCAAAAAACTCAAGCAGACTTTGACCAAGAGGAAAACAATGGCTACAGTGTTTTGGGACCAAAAAGGTGTGCTTCTGGTTGAGTTCATGCAACAGGGAACAACGATAACAAAGGAATCATACTGTGAGACTCTACATCGCCTCCGGAGAGCAATACAAAACAAACGGAGAGGAATGCTGTCATCCGGCGTGGTCCTGATCCACGATAATGCACGACCGCATAATGCCAATGTCACAAAACAACTTCTGCAAAAGTTCAAATGGGAAGTTTTCGACCATCCGCCGTATAGTCCTGACTTAGCGCCCAGTGACTATCACCTCTTTCGAGAAATGAAGGCGTGGTTAGGTGGACGACGCTTCGCTGACATCGAAGAGCTTCAAGCCACTGTAAGGGCCTACCTGAGCTCACTGGCGGCAGACTTCTTCGAGGAGGGTATAGGAAAACTTGTCTCTCGCTATGACAAGTGCCTCAACATTTTTGGTGACTATGTAGAAAAATAAGTTTAAGAAATGACGAATCTTTTGGTAATAAAATCATCTTTTTATCTCAATGTGTTTATTATTTATGGCCTATCGGAACTTGAAAAAAAAACAGCCCTAGTATATATAAAACTAAATACATTTTCTTAAAAGATCAGTATCTTCTTTCCGGAGTAGGGGCCGGAGTAGGGGGATACGGGTTTCTACTCTAATTCCTTCTTCAGAGTCATCAATTCTGTCCCTACAATCAGAAAAAGTAGGCTAATACTAATGGAAATATAAATACGATGAACTGTATTTGACTTATATAAGAATGTTCAAAATGTAGTTTAAATTTAGTTTATCAAATGTACACCTTAAACATTTTTGAAAAAGTTTCTTGGGTTCTGCCCCAGTGGTTTTTAAAGCTTCCATATTATCCTTATGTAGAACAATTATTGTCATAAGATAAGATGTTCCTTAATTCTGACCATGTTGTACAGTATGATGCAATTGCTGTTAATATTTTAGTTGCAATTCTAGCATTTATGGGTAAATAAATAAGTGTTACATAAAAATTATAAAAGATTAATTTACCGGTTAACTTCTTCTAGTCTGTCGACTCTCCCGTTATTTGGTCCCCCACCACCTGTTCCTCTTCCACCTCTTCCCCTTCCACGTCTTCCTCTCCAACCTCCTACCTCTGCCCTTCCCCGGCACCCCTAACCCCTCTTCTAGGTATTGAATGCTCCAGAGTGTAAGGAGTATCCGGATGATTCCATCGACGTCATTGTTGAAAATGTCTGCAAGCAAAGGACATCCAATTAGTAACCTTAGTTCACATTTATATTTTACACTATATGTTTTACCCCCTCTTGTGTAACATTTCTTGTGTAAACATAACCTCCTTGACGGGTCGTGTTAGTATGGTTGTATCTTAAATTTTTGTTTTTATCGTTGTTTTGTGTCGCTATGACGGATCATGTTAGCATGTTTGTAACTTAAATGTGTGCATTTATCGTGGTTTTGTGTAGATATAATTTGTTTATTTGTTGTTTTTTTTTCTTTTAAAAGTCTTCGACGTGACGACAACGAAACATAGACAGGAAGCGTAATGATAACAACCGCAGCTATAGAACAGTGGCGCGTAATAGGCTTAAAGGCCGGTTTTATGCACCGCGACAGTCGCGAGTCGCGGCGCGACTCAAGTTCTATTGAGTTAAATGGGAGCATTTATTAAACGGGTCCGCAGAATTGGCTAACTCTGGAACTCGCTAACCCCATGTTAAACGCCCTATCTTCAAATTTGGTCGATGAGAGGAACTCGCTAACTTGTTCGGTTTCGGAATTGGCTAACTCCGGAACCCGCTCTAGAGCCGGGTTAGCGAATTCGTCCTCGTACAGAAGTCGCTAACTCGGTCCCTCGGCGGAACTCGCTAACTCCCAATCAGAAGCCTCGCGGGCCGTCCAATGGGAGCCAAGCACGAAGATTTTTGGCCAGTGTTGCCGGAAGTGTAGTGCCTATATCGTATCGGTACCATAATGTCGTATCCTAGGAATAATTAGGAGTAAGAGCAACGTAGCCGATAAAATAAATATATTTAGAAGTATGTTTAATATTATTCTTATGGTTATTAGGGTAGAAAATGCATTATAGTCTTACCATAGACTAACCAACACAAGTAAACTTTACATTCTATTGTAAACTTTGAAGCTCGTTTTTCAAGTCTAATTCATGTCCGGTAACACTGATCGCTAATGTCGACGAAATTGTGTTTCTATTATTTTATAGTTAACTTCATGATTTGTTCTTTACTGTTTGGTTATATAACTAGGGTACGTGTTATAAGTTGTGATTAGAACGTTTTATTTGGTTAAACGAGGTTTTAAATTACTGAAAACAAGAAACAATTGTAAGCAAAACACGACCTCTAAAGACAGTGCACCGGACATAACTACTATGAGAAATTTAGGTACTAATATAAGGGAGTATGTTTTATATGTGGTTTTCTTACTTAAATAGTAGTTTATTGGGATGCAAAATGATAATACTGTACATTTAATTAGGATATTTTACATGTTATAAAATATCTATTTTCGTAGTCCACCATTTGTTTTTTTATTCAAATAAATACCATTTTGTTAACTTCTGCAATAAAATTATTAAGTTCATATTTTATATACTGGGCTCGTAACATTTAATCATAAAATTGAATCATAAATCATGATAAAATTTACACGTTAAACGTCATTACAGAAATGCATTGCAGTGGTAATTTATTTAAAAATAGAGCTATTGAATTAAAATAAATATTGATCAATACATTATAAATTGGTAGGCCTAATGTATTAATGGATTCCATAAAAAATTTGTCTATGCATAGATACAAATTGCAAATTTCTATTATCGTAGGCTATTAGGCCTACTGTAGTGTACAACCCGTGTCATCCTCTTAATTTTGTTTAATTAATATTAATTTTACCGGTACGTCTTTCAGTAGGCCTACTTTTTAAAAGTTTTGAGTTTTAGCGAATTTCCCTATAGGGAAGTAGCTATTACCGTAGGTGGCACGGTAAGACCTAGACCCGGGACCGATTTACTTTTTCATTTTGATGTCCCCAGAGGCCAAAAACACTATTCGTTCAAATTTGTATATATGTATATATATATATATATATATAGACTTATATATATATATATATATATATATATATACGTCCGTGAACGCGATAACTTGAGTAATTTTTGTCCGATTTTGATGAAATTTGGTTTAAAGGTGTAAAGCAGGATAAACTTGAATGAGTTCGCGAACTAGCACGATCGGACCATGGGAACGGGGCTTTACGGGGGGTTTTATGGGGTAAAAATTGGTTTTTCTCACTTTTGACCCTCAAAACACAAAATTTCCCAATTTCTCTTTAGACCTTTTTAAAGAGCTTAAAAAAACAAATAATTTAGTATATAAAAGTATTTTTGTTCGATTATAAGTAACGGAGAAAATTAAAAAAATTGTAAATTTAAAATTCCCGTGTTATTCTTATGGAGAATATTGTCAAATGTTGTAGTTTGCTTGTTTATGAATATATTTTGATCAAACTTGGCAAATTTATTTATTTTGTACTAAGCTATCAATATTTTACTCAAAAACACACTTTATTAGTTTCCTTGTAGCAGCAAACCTAGGTACTCGTTAAACCTAATGTTATTAAAATATATTTAACTGAAAATCAATTCAGACAAATGGAAATTCGCTTAGTCGGCAGGTTTGCTGCGGCGGGGGTATTTATGGTTCTAAATGGACCCAGGCGTCAGTGGCGGTTCTAGGACCTTGTCAAGGGGGGCCACCGGGGGGCTTGGGGCCCCTGAAAATTTGGAGTTTTCAAAGCCGTTTGGTGACTTTTTAAAGCCATTTTTAACACCTAAAACCTTGCCTAATTGTCCATAAACTCCGCATTTCACCTGTTGTTTGTCATGAGCAAATAAACATTTAAAAAATTAAACTATGGTGATTCCATTGCATTCATGAATTTCAAAACACTGTAGACTACGGCCATATCCTCCTAAAAAAGCCGTTGGGTGACTTTCTACAGCCAGTTTTAACGTCTAGAACTGTGTGCAAAACCTCCCATTTCCCCATTTTTATTTGTCATGAATAAATAGACATTTTAAAAACTAACTATGACGATTGCATTCATAAATCTCAAAACATATTGTAGGCTACGGCAATATCGTCCTAAAGGCTGTTTACTGACTTTCTAAAGCCGTTATTGATGTCTATTTGTGTCCAACTGTCCAAAAACCTGCCATTTCACCTGTTATTTGTCTTTGTCATGAGCAAGTAAGTAGACATTTTAAAAATCAAACTATGACGAATTTGCATTCATGAATTTCAAAAACATAGGCCTACTGTAGACTACGAAGCCATATCTCCTAATATGGCCATTTCTAACGGCTAGAACTGTGCTCAATAATTATCCTAAAACCTTCCATTTCACCTATTATATGCTTTTTATATGTCATGCAAGCAAGTAGATACGTTTTTAAACTTATGTTTTTCTACAGTCCATTTCATAGATCTGTCACAATATGTACAGTATCGAATTCAGTACCGGTAATAACATTGACTATACAAAACTTTAACATTAGTGTTTATATAGTAAATGGTAAAAGGCTACTGGTGCTACCGCTGATTGCTGATTGATGCCTGTGGCCTGTGTAAAGTTAGTGGCTAGCAGACAATTTGACAACTATGGAACATCAGGAAATCAGCTGTTTTCCCGTCCTTGTATGGTCCTTGCTCACGCGCTCGGCGCTCGCCTTTGCCCTAGCATGTCAACAGCTGACTGCTGTAAAAATTGGATGATGCGTATAACTAACTTTCCATTGCGTAATATTGTTTTATTTGCGGTGCTATTGTCCACAAAGTTGATCTATGTGGAACTTAATACTACTCCTGCCATCGCTTATTAAGTTTAATAAAATCTACATTGATGTCTGTTTTATGACATTGCGTGTTTTAAGGGTGAAATGTACGTTTAAATTTATTTTTCCAGGGTCCAAGGCTTTAGCCCCTGTAGCCCCCCCCCCTTGGAACCGCCACTGCCAGGCGTTCTTGTTTGTTACCATTTTTATGAATGGTGGCTATAGCTAAAACTACCTGATCTTATCTAAAAACAAAGCTATTGTCTATTGAGTAGCTCAGTACCGGGGAAAGGGGAACCGAGCAATGGCTTGGTATACACTCGATTATAAAAACAATATAAAGAAAACCCAACACTCAAATCAGGAAAATCCGTCAAGTCGTTGATTAAGTATCGTGAATTAAAATAACCCTGTGCCGTTTTATTATATGTACTATATCTTCCCCTATTATTTACTAGAGGTGCATAGGTGTACAATCTAAAAACTGTTTTAAAACATGTAACATTATTACTAAAAAATTCAACACATTTTAGAATTAGGCAACTATTTACTAGTAGACCTACAATGCTTTGGTTTAAACTATTAGGCCTAGATTTAGGCGTAAGCTATTCTATAATTGATATGAAACTTAGTCTATGTCATATTTTTTTACACGTAAGTTGGAAGATTCAACGACGAACATTTAATTTTAAATCTACGAATTAGTTATGAAAGTTACAATGGTTGATTACTGTATTAATTGATGGTTTTGGTTTATTACGACATTACGATTAAATTTGTTTTCCGTGTTTGAGAACTTGCGTGTATTTTAGCTTAATTTCGTAGATGTTTAATTATTTAGTAGCCTACCAATTAAACTGAATTTTCAATATTTTTCATATTTTATTATTTATTTTTATACTGATAGCATTTATGTTTAAGATCAAAATCATAAACATTTAATTAATTGGCCATTGTACAGTTAAAAAAAAAAAAAAACAAACACTTTTTCATTACTTTTTAATTGTCTTTTAATTACTTTGGGCTAGTTATCTGTTCAAAGTGGAGTTGATAACAACAAACAATAACATTTACTGTATCTTCATTGACACTGATATTTTGAAATACGGCAGTGTACAATTATTTCGTCGTGCAAGGTTGGCAACGCTCCATTCAGTGGGCGCGGCTGGGTTAGCGACTTCCAGAGTTAGCGAATTCCGCCGCGAGACAAAATCGAGTTAGCGGGTTCCGGAGTTAGCCAATTCCTGACTGAGACGGTTAGCCAGTTCCAGAGTTAGCCAGTTCCGACACACGACCGAGTTAGCGAGTTCCTGAGTTAGCCAATTCCGCGACAAACTGCCGCGTGAGCGACTCGGAGATCTCTAAATACCCGCGACAGGTTTTAGAATCGCAGCTTCAAAAAATGCTCATTAATGGCACAAGGCTTCATGTGATCAGAATGGTTAACAACTTAATAGAATGTAAAGTCTTAACTGGGACAAGTGAGTGGGGACATATTTTGATTTTGAGGATAAAAATGTGCCCGTCTGAAACTAACTTAAGTTACCTTTTAAAATGGAAAGATGCTAATTTCTGTTATCTTTGGCATTTGCAGCACAAGCCCTTTAATTAAAGATCAGCACTGTTCTTACCCAGACCAATTTCAGTCATGAGCAACTATATTGTATGTTGTTTTAAGTAAGGCTACATCTTTTAATAGGATACGCATATTCATTACGGAAAATTCTGACCAGGGTAATCTTCCTGAAGGTAACTTTAAGACTAAAATCGTACTTAGTATTCGTGAAAGTGCTTTTGTGAAAAAAATATTGTTTTTTTAGTGTTTATTTTTAAAAGTATATTCTTCAAACAGCATTGTAAGACCCTCAAAATATGCTTCATAGGCCTATTGGTTTGATATGATTGAATGTTTTGTTAAATGTATAAATGTTAAAGTGTATACCTACTTTAATTTAAAATTCGTTAGCTGGACTTTAAGCGAAAATTTACCTAAACATAGGCCTATACGTTTAGATTTTAATGATTTTTTAATATGTTATACATTCAAGTGTATACTTTAAATTAAAACGATGAAATTTTGTGGAATATCTACAACATAGTTTGATGGTTGTCCAAACATTCTTAGTACGCTGAGAACAAGCTCGTTAGCTGGACTTCAGGCTAAAATTAACCTAAATATATATGTTTAGATTCTAATGATTTTTTACTATCTTATACATTTAAGTGTATACTTTAATTTAAAACGATAAAATTTTGTGGAATATCTTCACAACATAGTTATATGGTTGACCGAACATTCTTAGTACGCTGAGCGCCAATTCGTTAGCTGGACTTCAGGCTAAAATTAACCTAAATATATATGTTTAGATTTTAATGATTGTTTAATATGTTGTACATAAAAGTATAGACTTTAATTTAAAACGATAAAATTTTGTGGAATATCTTCACAACATAGTTATATGGTTGCCCGAACATTCTTAGTACGCTGAGCGCCAATTCGTTAGCTGGACTTTACAGTGCTAGCAAAACGGGAGTGCCGATGGAGACCAGGTCAAGTCCCTTCAAACGCACGCACCCCCTCAGGTCTCCATCGGCACTCCCGTTTTGCTATCACTATAAGCGAAAATTAACCTAAATATATATGTTTAGATTTTAATGATTTTTTAATATGTTATACATTCAAGTGTATACTTTAATTTAAAATGATAAAATGTTGTGGAATATCGTCACAACATAGTTCGATGTCTGTCCGAACATTCTTAGTACGCTGAGCGCCAATTCGTTAGCTGGACTTTAAGCGAAAATTAACCTAAATATATATAAATCAATAAATAGGGTTACCTTCGTCAATCAGCTCATAGTAGTTGTAACATTGTTACGGCCGTTTCAGCATATCCATGCCATCATCAGACGTTCAGCCTTAGTGGCGTCGTTAATATACAAAAACACAAACTGTCACACCCGCCGTACACATACATAAACATAAACGGGGGTTTTTGACTAAACAGGCCTGTTGATTACACATCGTTACAACTACATTGTATGTACGTATCGTTACACCACGTTACAACTACTATGAGCTGATTGACGAAGGTAACCCTATTTATTGATTTAGTCACAAGATCAGCTCAGGGGCTAAAAAATATGGATTTTAATAATAAATATATAAGTATGTTAAATTTTAATAATTTTTTTAAATGTTATACATTTTAAGTGTATAAACTTACTTTAATTTAAAATGATAAAATTTTGTGGAATATCGTCACAACATTGTTAGATGTCTGTCCGAAAATTCTTAGTACGCTGAGCGTCAATTCGTTAGGTGGACTTTAAGCTAAAATTAACCTAAATAATAAATATATATGTTTAGATTTTAATGATTTTTTAATATGTTGTACATACAAGTATGAAATTTAATTCCATATGAAAAAATTTTGTGGAATATCGTTTCAACATCGTTAGATGTCTGTCCGAACATTCTTAGTACGCTGAGCGCTGGACTTCAGGCTCAAATTAACTTAAGATTTTATTTATATATATTTTTTTATATGTTATGCATTCAAGTATTTCCCCCATTTAAATGATAAAAATGTGTTGGAAAACGTTAACTTACAACATGTGTTAGGCCTATATTGTTAAAAAAGGTTTTAACATTCTTAATAAAATTGAGGTCTATTTCCGTTTTATTAGATTGTACACAGAATGGGTAGTGGGGGTATGGAATTCTCCGCCCGCCGTTAGCTGGCGGGTGCCCATTTTATCACCAACACAGTGTTGACATTTTTTTCGTAACCATATCGACCAATCGATTGTCAACCGATTGAACAGATCGTTTTCGATAACCAAACTCGGTCAGTCAACCACTGGATCGACGTCGACGACAAGGCGACAACGACAACCAACCGTCGACCGTTTTCTGCTGATGTCCCGCCAAGCAAGGGCAAAGCCAAAGCCAATCCTCACCTCCTAAATTGCATTCCTATCATAAAAAAATACTTCTTGGGCTTCTAAGCCTAAGTTATTATTAGCACATCCAAAAAATATGACTTATGCTTCTGAATTGTTATGTGTGTATATTCACTTTACTGTTGGGTTGGGATTGTTCAGTTAGTGAGGTCCTACATCTGCCACTTTTGTGTATCGAAATATTTATCTAGCATGCATTTGTGAGTCAAGACGGACTATTTATTTTTTATTTTGTATCGAGAGTGACATAGCCTATTGCATTGCTTAATGGCCAAATAAATAATTGAAGCAAGTTAGGCCTAATTAAATAAACACCGAGATGGTTCATTAACGAATAGGCCTATGGTAAAAGGTTTTAACTTTAAAACTTTCTATGAACTAATAAGTTATATATAACAATAATAATAGGCTGCACTTTACTTGACGTCCTACACTCATTCGAATGAAAATATCGATCGATATATCGATTAATCGATTGCTTCATTCGATATATCGTTTGGTTAGTTAGGTAAGGTTAACCTAACCTAACTAACCAAACGATATATCAAATGAAACAATCGAATGAAAATATCGAATCGAAAAAACAATCGAATGAGTGTAGGACGTCAAGTAAAGTGCAGCCTAGGTAATTATCAGTTTTATCAGGTCCGTCCAGCCAGCGAATGAATTATTGAAATATACAATATATTAAACACCCTTGTGGCTGGAAAATGCTTTAGCTACTGAAAAAACAAAAGTAGCCTTGTAATATGATACAGGAACAGGCTCTCACTTGGTTTATTTTTAAGCTTATGGGTAAATGTGTAAAAGAGGACTGGCTCAACACACTAAATGACTAAATAGTTCCTTCTCTTTGAGTTTCGAGTCAAACTACCCTGTCTTGTTTTGTTTTCCTACTTGGTTTAATAACTATAAGGTTAAAAGATTCTTTCTTTAGTTGTCAAATCATTATTTTAAAAGGTTAGGTATACCCAAGCAAGATGCGTTATTTTTTCACAAGTCCTTTTAGTGTGTTTTAATCGACAATCGATAGCAAGTGATGGTCGATACGACTACAAACGATATTGAACCGATATTTTGTCAACACTGTGGGGGTGATAAAATGGTCACCTAGCTGGCGATAGCTGTCTTCACCGTAGGTTAGGTTATGATAGTTTAATTTTATAATAGATATATTTTAAAATATCGATTATTAGTCAATATTTTCAATTCGATAGGCCTAGTTTCAATCGATATTAGCATAGCCCAGTTAGGAAACTGTACCCTGTTTAGGTTCAACTTATCAGTAATATTGGTTTGACTGTTTGAATCAACATAGGCCTAAGCCCTTGCTCCAACATTTTATGAAGACACGTTTTTAATAAAACTAGTATCAAAACAGTAAAACGTCTTACCTTACTCTTTTCTTCTTATTTTTTGCCCATTCTTCTGGATTTGTTTTTCTCTTTCGACCTCTAGCTTGAGGAATGATAAAACTTCCATAATTTTGATTCATATTGATATTAGCCTGGTGTTGGTGAATCAATTTCAAAAGCTGGGAGCTGGGAGCTGGAAGCTGGGAGCTGGAAGCTGGAATGGAATTGGAAGCTGGTGGATGGTGAACGGTGAACTCGAACTGGCGTTTGGCGCTGGGGCGCTATGTACCAGGTGTCACTAACATTAACGTTCGTTCAGTTCGTTTAACTGCCGCTAGGTGTCTCTTGTTGAATGTCCAGCTCTCGCTGTGATTTTGTACAAGCTGGTATATGACCACCCCAATTAGCTTTCTTCTCCGCAATCCGCAGTTGTATCTTTTCTTTTACCTATTGTTTGAAAAGCCGAGAGTCGTGCCTCTTACCTGAGGCCGATGATTGGCTTATAACTCTCACTAGATGTTCCCTGGAGGACCAAAACTCCAGAGACATGGCCTCACTAGAGACCTTCCCTGGAGGACAAAACCCCCACATCCACAATGCGCCGTGCTGGACGACAAAAGCTTGTGTGGTGTAAGGTTACTGAATATGGTTGGTTGTTGGGTTGTTTTATTACATTAGTTGTTGTGTCCAAACCTTACATGAATCATTAATATTTTTTTCATGAAATGAAATAATATTTTATTTCCCATTAATTATATACATATGAATACATTGTATATTTTTTCTTTCTTTAATATAATACAGCAAACATTACTAACTAGATAACTAAATAAAAATTATACTGTAGAAATAAAGCGAAAAAAATACCTTATTTAACAAAAAGGAAAAAGTTACATAGGCAGGGCCTGTGCGTAGACTCGAGTTGCGAAACGGTTAATTTAAATGGGAGGTAAAAATGTATAGGAAAACAAAAAAGATAGTATAATTTAACATTTTTATATTTGTCTTGCTTGAAACTGAATTTTTTGTGTTCTGGAATTGAATTGACGATAAAAAACTGTTTGTGCAAACTGAGGTAATTTATCAAAATCTGGTGAAGATTGAAGAGGAGAGGTGGAGTGTGGTGTTTAGTCAGTCAGTGAAGACGGTGTATCAGTGATTGTGTAGTGGAGTGTAGGGTCAACGGTCAGGTCGGCCCAACGCGATAATGGCCTCGGTATCCTCTGAACTCAGTCCTACAAGCCACCCTACAACATGCTTCTTAAATAGAGAGAGAGAGGGTGAATTTAGAATGTTGAAATTTTGATATCTGTTACACATGTTACGATAAATGATTTGGGTTAAGTGAAAGCAATTCGTATGTGAAAATGTTTTTAAAGTTTGTGGAACATTTATACCAACATTTCGAGAAAAGCGCGTATTGTGGGGATGAGTATTTTTTACAAAAATATCATCAAAGTTTTTGTACATGTGAACTAAAATAAATTTTAAAAATAACTGCCTGACTGTCAAAAACTCCCGATTCTACAAAAAGATCGTATCAGTTGAATATCTAAAGTGTTTTTTAAAAGCAACTTTAAGTATTGTTTTCTGCACTACAAAAACAGGTTGCAAGATAGTTTTGTAAACACCACCAAAAGCAATAATTCCAAAAGACAACAATGATTGAACATATGCAAAGTATGCTATTTTAATTTCTTGCTCTTCGAGAATATCACTAAGTTGCCTAAATGCATAAATATATTTACGTAATTTGTTTTTTTTTAGATATTCAACATGTTCCGAGTTCCGACCAATTCATTTGAATCAAAAACAATACCAAGATATTTGTATGAATCAACTTTTTCAATTTTGCTACAAGAACAAGAGTTATTGGAATGGCTTCCACAGACATGAATAGTTAGGTTATCAAGTTTGTATTCGGTTACCTTGCGTAATGAAATTGGCATAAATTTTGTTTTAGATATATTAAGAGAAAATACATTTTGTTCAAGCCATTTTTTTTAGCAAACAGAGGTCTGATTCTGCCTTATTTTTAACATCCTTCAAGGATGCTCCGGTTACAAATATTAGAGTATCATCAGCAAATAATGTTAATTTCCCATCTGTTTGAATTTTTGAAATATTATTCATATAAATGAGGAATAAAACAGGACCAAAAGGGTTGAACCCTGGACCACACCATTCTCCACTGGCAAAACATCGCTTGACACTTCACCAAGTGCGACAGTTTTGTAGCCTATCAGAGAGGTAGCTGCTGAACCAAGCGAGCGAGGTGCCGCGCACCCCGATAAGCTCAAATTTACGCAACAATCAACATCTGTCTACTCAGTCAAAAGCTTTTTTCAAGTCTAAAAATATTAACATACTTCGTTTTTGCCATAAATTGCCTCGTTAATGCATTTATTAATATCAAATAAAGCATCAGATATGTTTTTGTCACTCCTGAAACCATACTGATTTTCACTTAAAATATCGCATTGGTGGAGGTAAAAAACAAGTTGGTCTTAAGCGATTTTCTCTAATAGCTTAGCAATCACACTTAACAAAGAAATCGGACGATAGTTATTCATGTCTGTGCAATCATTGGATTTGTGCAATAGAATGATCTTGGCCAATTTCAGCTCGTTTGGGAATATACCAGATGTTAGGCTAAGACTGACAATGTGCAGAAGAGGAGCACATAGAGAGTGGATGTTTTCTTTAAAAACGAAGGCCGAGATACCATCATGGCCCGGCGCAGACCCTCCGCGCAGACCCTGGACGTAACGTTCTATGTCAGCGTGTGTGACCGTGTTGAATGTAAAATTCGTGTCGAGTGAGAAGTCAGCTTCGTTTACGGCTGGAGCCCCAGCTGAATTGATTGAGTTGGCCAATTTAGAACCAACTGATGTAAAAATCTTATTGAAATCGTTTGCTATTTTAGTCTTCATGTTCGCATTGTTCGAAGAACCCGGTTTTAAACTTTTTCAAATGGAAAATTTGAAAAAGTTTTTTCAATATATATTTTTGCCAATATAGTTTTTTGCCATTTCATTCGGGCAGAAATGGAGCCATTTCTGCCCGATATTTCACTAACTATGCCCCAAAATACTTTTGGTTCCCTGTTAGATTCTGAAATTTTACCCCTATAATAATTTTTCTTTGCGATTTTGATGTTTTGATTTAAAGATAGGCGCAGGGCCCTGTATCTATCTGTTAGTAATATAAAGGGTGTCCCAGTAAGAGCGCCGGATTTGAGGAGCGTCTTATCCTTATCTGTATTTCAATAGAAATTCGCAAAGCGATGTTATCAGTATTAGGTCCCATTTGTAGTCATGAATCCCTACACGACGGATCAACGCTTGGTCATAGATAAAGTGCACTACAAGTACGGAAGCTGTGCGCTATTTACGGCCGGGACAATGCACCAAATGATCCATCTGTCCGAAGATTGATTTCTAAGTTCGAATAAATTGGCTCAGTTCCATTCTGGTTCCATTCTTCATATTGTAAATTTAACATCAAAATATATGGTTTGTTAACATTTCAAATCCGGCGTCCAAGTCAAAGCCGGAGTGTCCGGCTTGAAATGTTAACAAACCATATATTTTGATGCTAAATTTACAATATGAAACATGAATCTTAAAGCATAGCATCTCCGATTAGTAATTGAGTATTATGTCTTGTAAGTGCTAAAACGCCGGATTTGAAATGTTAACAAACAATATATTTTGATGCTAAATTTACAATATGAAACATGAATCTTAAAGCATAGTATCTCCGATTAGTAATTGAGTATTATGTCTTGTAAGTGCTAAAACTCCGGATTTGAAATGTTAACAAACCATATATTTTGATGCTAAATTTACAATATGAAACATGAATCTTAAAGCATAAGCATAGTATCTCCGATTAGTAATTGAGTATTATGTCTTGTAAGTGCCAACCTGCTGAATACTGACAGGCCCGACATCTCTTGACAAAATTTGCCATAACTTTTTCACACACTTTTTTCACACAGTTTTAGTATTTTAGTATTAATTGGGACACCCTTTATAAAACGGTTGGGTTTTGATCTTTTTACTTAGCTTGTCTCGTTTACGAATTAGTTTAATGAGATCTACGGTAATCCAAGGCTTTATTTTTTTAATCTTGTAGAGTGATGTTTAATGGTTTTAGTATCAATTTAGTTTTAGTATTAATTTAGTAACTTCTTGATCAGCATTGTACGTGTTATTAAATTTACGGAAAGTAAATAAAAGAAACGTCTTATAACACTTAAAACATATATTTACGCTTATACTGTTACTCACAAGACGGTAAATATACAAAAACGATGGTAAGTGGTGATCGATTTCGATTGGACACTCCAATCATCATCCGCCTCACATTCGCCTATTGGGTCTGATGATGATTGGAGTGTCCAATCGAAATCGATCACCACTTACCATCGTTTTTGTATATTTACCGTCTTGTGAGTAACAGTATAAGCGTAAATATATGTTTTAAGTGTTATAAGACGTTTCTTTTATTTACTTTCCGTATTAATTTAGTTTTAGTATCAATTGTTTTAGTTTCAATATCAGTGTAGGAAACCTATATTATAAATGCTTTAATCCTCTAACAAATTCCATTGTTATTATCAATATAACATTGGTTAAAAATCCGTCTTTACAGTTACAACTTTTGGTTGAGAGAAAATATATAGACATGTTTTGGAACAAAATTGCTAGTCACTATAACGAATGCTAGAAGGCGGATTTTGGAATAAACAAAAAAAGGCAAAAGGCAGGTTTTGAAATAAACTTGCTATGGATAAGACCTTTAAAAAAAAACTTCAAACTTTGTCTGCATCAACCAGGAGTAGATTTTTCGGGAACAAAATAAGAATTGAAACTTAGCTAACGCCATTTTGTAATTTGGTATTAATATCCCATTTTATGATTTTTTGGGATAAGGCAGCTTTTGAAACTACACGACTCAATTATTGATCAAACTAGCGATGGTACAGCAATAAATATTTACAATTATAAATTATAAATATAATGTATGATGACAACAAGTATTGAAGTGAGTGTGAAAAAAACTGTGTGAAATTGTGCAATATCCTTGTGCCAGAGGGTATTTTGAAATTGATTTTTTGACAGGATGTTCGGACAAAATAGAAGTCATTTTGAGTAAAATATTGAAGTCAGCTACATCTTGGCGCACACCACAAATGATATGAACT